CACTTTCACAATAAAGGGACGCCTTTTCAACAACTACGCATTCAGTGTTCATCCTACCCTTTATTAAAAAAAAGGAAAGATTAATAGCCTTCGATGGCTCTATTTAAATAAATGCATGCTTTAAAAAACCCTCCTTTTCTTTTGATTGTGCTGCTAAAACACTAATTTGAAATCAAAGACAATTTAAACCTAAAATGTTCATCAGTACAGTTCTCCAAATGACCCAGTCCTTTAGCCCCAATTTTTTCCTCTCTCTCTGCTAGGAAACCATCCTTGAAGAGCTCTCAATGTTTTATTATTTTTTTTAAACTCCTACTTTATTGTCTCTGTGTATAAGAGAATGACACACTTGGCCCCACAATTTAATGTGGAGAAATAGGAGTCGTACCATTCCAATGGTACAATCAGGATTTCTGACATTAGAAGAAACAATTAATTACCAACATCTGTTTTCAGCCCACATTTTAATTACCTAACCTAGCCATCTGTAATTTTCAGCACTTTTCCTTGAGTTTCCATTCCTGGCTGCGTGATTCAAGGGAGCCACGCTTGGAAGAAAGAACAGCCTAACATTTTTCAGCGGAAAAAGTTCCATAATCTCTCAGCCCGATTTCTGTAGCTGTCACAAACCTCCTTGTAAAACCCAGCATCTGTCCGGCATCCTGAAGGCAGGACAAGAAGCAACGGATGGAAACTAACCAAGGAGAGAAGCAACCTGGAATTAAGGAGGAATTTCCTTCCTTTCATTGCCATTATTCTCGAACACCTGGCATCTGCGTTGCACAGAAACACCACATAAAAAAACTCTAGATAGGAGCTTAGGAGAGAAAGGACAGTTTTCCCCAAGAAAAACAAAAGGTGGGTGGTCACTTCTTTGGAGTAATTTTATGTTCTCCACAAAGTTCAAAGATTGTTGTGGCCCGCCAGCAGCCGGTGGCACTGGCCGCAGACTCATACAATGAGGAGATTGAGGAGGAACGTGGGCCAGTCCTGGAGTCTGGGGAAGGCTCGGATGAGGGCTCTGCCTCCAAGGGAGAGATGGGGCCAGGGTCATCTGACAGTTATCAGCTGGGTTGTCTCACAAGAGTAGTCACGCTGCAAACACTGAAGATGGATTGTGGCTGTATAGGGTTTCGTACTTGAGCAAGTGGCTGGACTAAAAGACCTTCAAAGTCCCTTCCAACTCTGTTATACATCTCTGGGATTTGGAGAGCTTCTGGAAGCCAGCCTCACCTGCTGGCAACGGTTACCAGCCAGAAATGTCAGGCCAAGGAAAAGAAATTGCATTTTTGGCAGTCAGCAAAGGTTGGTGGGAGGGTGGGCAGCGAATCAAGCAGAGCTGGGGGAGAAAATGGGAAGAGGTTCTCCACACACCTTGCTCAAAATTTGAATTTTAACAATTCCTCGGGGACCCACTGAGATAATTTAAACAGTTTTTGAAACAGCTCAATGGTTTCTAGGCAGAGGAATGTAACGGCACGCTACCCCACAAACGAGGTAACAATCGCACTGCCTCGCAATTTGGAAACTGGAGTTGAAGTTAAGACAAGAGGCTCAATTTTTTTTTAATTGTAAAGCTATTTGTCTCCCCACCCCAGAGCTAATTTTCCCTAGATTTGTGCCTAATACTAAATATGGATTCCCCCAGGAACGGAACCGCAAGGGGACAATTTTGAGAAAAAACTGATTTGGGGAGGAAGCAGATTTCCCACCCCCACCCCCACAATGCTATTATCTCTGCAAACCCCCAAAGCTACTTTGGTTTCTGGGAGTTCTGAAAAACAACAACTCATTGAGACCACATCGCCCATATTTCTGTGTGACACCTGGAAAAATCTGTGGAAATGCTAGAAAATAGAAAAAAAGGACTATGTAGTAAAACCAAACTTTTGCAAAGATAAAGTTTTAGCCTCATTAAATTGGGATAATGGTTTAAAAAAAAAAAAAACAGAAGAAAACCTGCAAAATTGTCACAGGTAAAAAGCTCAAGAAAAGCCAGACCACCGCGTGGGAGAAAAAGGGAGGGAAATAGAGAGAAATAGAGACAGGGAGAGAGAGAGAGAGAGACAAAGAGAAAGAAAGAAAAGAAAGAGGGAAAGAAGGAGGGAGGAGAGAAGTAGAGAGAGAAATAGAGACACAGAGAGAAACACACACACACACAGAGAGAGAGAGAGAGAGAGAAAGAAAGAGAAAGAAAGAAAGAGCGAGGGAGGAGAGAAATAGAGAGAGACAGACAGAGAAAGAGAGACACAGAGAGAAAGAGAGAGAGAAAGAGAAGGAAAGAGGGAGGGAGGGAGAGGGAGAGAGAAACAGAGAGAGAAAGAGAAGGAAAGAGGGAGGGAGGGAGAGAGAGAGAGAAACAGAGAGAGAGAAAGAGAAGGAATGAGGGAGGGAGAGAGAGAGAAAGAGAAGGGAAGAGGGAGGGAGAGAGAGAGAAAGAGAGAGAGAGAGAAATCCTTTTTCCATTCCAGCCTGTCACAATTCTTTGGCTTTATGAACAAGCTTTATTTATATTGCGTTCTGTCTGAAGTATTTAAGCAATGGAGTGATTGTACTTGGTATGCAGAGAAAAAGGGCAATGAATTTCTCTGGATTGAGGGAGAAAAATGGGAGGACAAGGATGAAGAGAGACAGAGAAGGATCTGAGCTCAGCTAAAACCATGGCAGGTTGGAAAACGTGCCACCGGGCAGCAGAATCTGTCTGGTGCCAGCCGCTCCTGATATTTTAGGGCAGAGGACACCGCCATGCAAATCACATCGTATTATATACCCTCTTTAAGAGCCCGGCTGATCTTTCACGCGATCGGGGAAGGGAGAAGATTCACATCCCCAGCCTTGTGTAAGAGCCAACGCTACACTCTTCCTACCTTTCCAGACAAGCCATGTGCACCACCAGCACCCCCAATTTCCCTCTTCCTTTCTAGGAAAGACTTAGAAGTCATCCCTTCCAGGTGATCTGAAAGGCTTCCAGAGAGAGAGAGAGAAAGAAATTCCCAGTGAGGATCTACTAATTGAAATCCAATTTAGGAGGACGGAAGAGATACGTTCTTCAGGGAGGGCATATGGCCAAGGCGGATGGTGCCATGTTGCAGATGAAAAGGCAACAGATGGAAACTAATCAAGAAGAGAAGCAACCTAGAACTAAGGAGAAATTTCCTGATAGTTAACGCCTTGCCTCCAGAAGTTGTGGCTGTTCCATCACTGGAGGTTTTTAAGAAAAGATTGGACAACCCTTTGCTTGAAACGGTACAGGGTTTCCTGCTTGAGTAGTGGCTTGGACTACAAGACCTCCAAAGTCCCTTCCAACTCTGTTAATTCTCTTATTCTGTAACGTGGCCATCACTTTTGAGCAGACTCCCCAAATGTAGGCATCCTCCAGTTAAGTGGGATTCCCAGAATTCATAGCGATGGTTAAGATGGTTATGGAGTCCTGGGGTTGAAGGCCACACATCTGAAGAACATCCAGGTTGAAGGCTGGTAGCACAAACTGAGAAGTAGAACTACATCTTCTGCATGCAGAAGACCTTGGGTTCAGTCGAGAACCTCCTGTCTCAAACTTGAGGAGCTAAGATAGATAGCCAATTAAACATATCTTTGGTTCTGTACCAGACAATTTTGATGTTTCCATCAAAACAAGTCAGGTGAAGGCCAGACAAGGAATAATGGATGGAAACTGAACAAGGAGAGATTCAATCTGGAAATAAGGAGAAGTTTTCGGACAGTGAGAGCAATCAACCGATGGAACAGAAGTTGCCTTCGGAAGTTGTTGGAGCTTCATCACTGGAAGCTTTCAAGGGGAGATTGGACTGCCATTTGTTGGGGATGGTGTAGGGTCTCCTGCTTGGGTGGGGAGGTTGGACTAGATGACCTATAAGGTCCTTTCCAACTCTGTTATTCTGTTATTATTCTGTTATTCAGAAGTTGTGGGAGTTTCATTACTGGAAGCTTTCAAGAAGAGATTGGACTGATGTCTGTCAGAAATGGTGTGGGGTATCCTGTTTGAGTGGGGGGTCGGGCTAGATGACCTACAAGGTCCCTTCCAGCTCTGTTCTGATTGATTCAACCTAGAGGAGAGATTTCAACCTATGGAGAGATTTCCTGACAGTGAGAACAATCAAACATTGGAACAGAAGTTGCCTTCAGAAGTTGTGGGAGCTTCATCACTGGAAGCTTTCAAGAAGAGACTGGACTGCCATCTGTCAGAAATGATGTAGTAGGGACTCCTGCTTGGGCGGGGGGTTGGGCTAGACGACCTACAAGGTCCCTTCAAACTCTGTTAATCTGTATCTAACCTGTAAGTGTGAAGAGGATGAAAGTTTATGTGTTTGCTTTCCACTAATCAAAACATTTTATAAGCTAATGGAGCAGAAGAACCCCGCTGTTTCCGTTTCTAAAGACCCAAGTGGCCTACTATCCCTTTCTCCAAGAATCCCATCAGACACTTTTAGGAAACACCTGAGCATGACATGGAGACATAAAGTTGGAGCACAGATAATCCAGAGAGAAATCAGAATATCTCCAAAGAAATCCTAGCAGCTCATATGCAGCTAGTTAATTGGCCCATAAATACTCAAACCTCTAAGTTAACATAAACATTTAGGGGACTACTTTAGGCTTGCAACAAGAGAAGAGAAGAGGAAAGGAAGGGAGAGGGGAGGAGAGGGGAGGAGGGAAGGAGAGGAGGAGGAGGGGAGGGGAGAGAGGGAGGAGAGGAGAGTGGAGTGGGAAGGGGAGGAGAGGAGAAAAGAAGAATGGCTACTACAGCAAAGGTCCTACTCTTGAAATCTCCAACCTGAAATCCACAAAGAATGAGGAAACACAGCTCTCATTTTTGTCACCTAATGTGAGCCATATAGGTGGGCTGAGTTGAGAGGTTCATAACATTTTAGATCTTCACTTTTTTTTCCCATTACTGAATCACTTACTCCTTCTTTTCTCCCACACAGGACGTCATTACACGGGAAGGAGTGAGACGAGGACAGATGCATTGGTTTACTTACTGCTGGTCCAGTAAAAGGAATATGGTCACAATTCTCTAACCATGACTGGTTGAGACTCTCTGCAAATTGCTGGAAGAAAGGGTGGGACTGGTTGAAGATAGAAAACCCCATGATGTTCACTCGATCGTCCATAAGGCTGTCCAGTTGCTGGAGAGAAAATTCCTACAAGGAAGCCAAGGTTCAAAAAAGCAGAATTAGTATGTTCTTCAACAGTCATTCGACAGGGGGAAAAATATGAAGGGAAGGCATTGCACGAACTGCAAAGACTGGTAAAAACTAGGGAACATCAAGAAACTTCAACAACTATTTATTTATAAATTCCTGGGGAAAAAAAAAAGAATTCAAAATCCTCATCTGTTCCAAACATGACCAGGAGGAAGTCATGCGTAACATCAAAACTGAGAAGGTCTTAGCTTCTGTCTTTATGAATCTCGCTGGAGAATCCAACCTCTATCTCCATAAGAAATAAAATAAAATAAAGGCTCATCTTCACTTCACAAACGGGGACTGACCTTCACAGATCAAAGGAGGCATTAAAGCTACCATTTCTATGAGCAGTTACAACCATTCAATAAATTATGATCTGGGTCAAGGCAGAAATTTTACCCCTCGTAAATCAGAAATGTAATGCTGGTTTTCTGATGTTTGTTTTGGTATGGCAGCTATTACTCTAGCTTTTAAGCAGGTTGGCAAAGACAAATGCAACGACTGACAACTTATCTGTGATGGACAAGCTTAAATCAGGGGCCTGAGTGGGGATAATATTGGGGGGGTAGGGGGGGAACTGAATCTCATTATCGATAAGCAACACAAAAATTACCGGCTGCATTATTGAGGTGGTTTGAATGATGCAGTTCTTTGGTTTCCCAGGCAGGTTATTTATTTCCACATAGCACATTGTCAACTTGTAGCATGAGGGCAGATGGCTAATGAGAGCTGCGGCCTGAAGGGATTTCCCATGCAAAGAGTGTGACAACAGTTGTGCCAAACTAGCACGATCTGTCTTTCTCCCTAGACAGGTGCTGGAGGACCAAGGAAAAAAAAATCAAATCTGAGAGAAAACAATGCTCTCTCGAGCCTAGCCAGGAATCCGAGTAGAAAAACACAACTCCAAGTAGCAACCTCACAAAGAAAATCAGCCGAGAAACAAAATGACTTTGAATTGCTTGAAATGCAATTCAAAGTCAATTCAAAATGACTTTGAATTCAATGACTTTGAATTGCTGGCGTCCTGAGGAATCACCTACATACAAGAAAACAAAAGACTAAAATCAAAAATCAGGGGCCCTGTAAATTGTGTGTTGCGGAGACTTCAGTCAGGAGTTTTAGAGAAGAATGGAATGGAATGGAATAGAATAGAATAGAATAGAATAGAATAGAATAGAATAGAATAGAATAGAATAGA